TCACCCTGTAGTTGACATCTAACCCTTCTTCTTCATTAATGGTTTGTTCCATTATACACCTTTTGAATACTATGGTATTGATGCATATGTCAACATGGCCAACCTTTATATTCATGCAACACCAAGTGCAAATTATTTTATTTTTATAATTAAAAAATACTCATTCCAAATATCGTAAATTAATTTCGTGAAGCTAATGTTGTTGCCTGCTTAAATTAATACAGTTATGCAGTAATTAATTTATATATTTTTTCACAGTTTTGATAAAATATATGCTACTACATGTACCAATTTTAAATTAAATAACATTTAACAAAAATAATTGAAATTATTTTCCCCTGTGTTTTTATGATATAAAACCTCAGTCAATTGTTGTTGATTTCACACAATTTCTGTTAATTAACTTTTAAATTTTGGATCATAAATAATACAAATACATATACTGTTGTAAAACCTTTGTCATGACCTTACCTTATTTGCATATTGATTATTCCATTCTGTTTATGGGGTTGGTCTTAACCAAATGAGGGGAGCTGTTTCCAAGAGTATAATTTTTATTCTTCAGTGGACTTTCAAAATTTACATCTTAAAGTAAAAATATAAACTCTGAATTGAGTTTAGCTGTCTATATAGTTTATGCATAGAGAACATCCCACTATAAAACACATGATCTACCCATGAATAAATGTTTTTCTGCTCAGAAAGGATGTTGTATAAATGGAACACTTAAACTGGAGAGTAAAAATACATTCCAAATATTGAATAAGAAAAAACAGCTCAATTTCTGTTTCAGCAGAGAAATGAAATAATAGAGGTGATCACTACAATGCTCTGTACATAACATGACCTATTTCTAGCAATTTTGTTATTATTACATTATTTGGTACTCTGTCACTGCATGTATTTTAATTTAAGTGTTGCATAAATAATAACATTATGACATGGCGACATTCATTTTTTTTAATTCAATAACATTTCATTTTTAATTTGGAAATAGATACAGAGTAAAATATTTCACATAATACCATAACATAAACCAATTTAAAATCTGTAACCTTTGCTCCCTAATTTATTAAAAAAATGTGATATTAATTTTGAACATTGAATATTTTTGAGTTGCAAAATACTGAAAAGGTCAAGCCCAGTATCAATGCAGTATCTGTCCAGTATCAATGCAGTATCTGTCCAGTATCAATGCAGTATCTGTCCAGTATCAATGCAGTATCTGTCCAGTATCAATGCAGTAAATGTCCAGTATCAATGCAGTATCTGTCCAGTATCAATGCAGTATCTGTCCAGTAAACAATTCAACTAGAAAATTAGGAAATTATTTGCAAGGTCAAATTTTTTATCTCAGCAATGGAAAACCTGATCAATTATTCAAATAAACACCTATTTTTATAATAAAATTGTCAAAAATAGACATAGATTATGGCAACAGAAGGTTTCCATGGTAATGCATAAATAAAGATTCTCATCTGTCATAACCAGTTAATATTTATTATACATATTTCCAGGTCAAACCGGCTAATAGGCAAAATTCTATTAAAATACAAAATATAGAAAATTAGTAAATATGCTATTTTAAATTATATAAAATTTGATGTGAATAAATATTGCATTTGTGGTTTTATTATTGACATTATTCACATGAAAATAATGTTATCCACAAATGTTAACAACTATATAATATATAAACTGTCAATATTACAAATGTTAACAACTATATAATATATAAACTGTCAATATTACAAATCACTGAAATCATGCTGTATATAGGTGTTCATTTTATGTCTTGTAATGGGATACTGCTGTCAATCATAACCAAAATAATGCTAGAATGACTAAAGTGGTTTCCAAGGTTACAATACATTTATCTATACAGCAATCAGATCTGAATATTGATCATCAAAAATAAATTACAAATTTAATATAAATTAGAAGTTGCAGGCAGTTAATAATGGAAGACGAGTTAGAATATTAAAATCAGGTAACTCTGAATTATGCAAATTAGCTACTCACAAACCAAAATGAGTTAATTACCATATACTATTGTGTTTTTTCCACAAATTGATATCATATTTGGAGATACAGTCAATGATGTATATTCTTACAGACTATATTAAGTACATTGTAGACCATTTTACAAAACATTTTGTTTCTAATTTCTTTCAGAAAAAAGAAGAACACTTTCAAAAATGGCAGGAATTCAAGACTGTGAATCGAGACAAAGAATACAGCAGACTACGAAAAAAAGTGGCCCTCCAACATGAACTTATACATGCTAGAGATGAACTTTTCCAACAGAAAATACAAGAACAAGAGCTGAAACAAGCAGAGGTAAATAAAACTAAATAAATTTAATAATTTTTAGTTATTTAATGTTTGGAAATTAATATGTTCAGCTGTTTTTCAGAAGTTTGGTTTAATATTGATGAACTGCATGATACCATACATTATGTAAATAGACTATTAACTATATTCTTTGAAGTATGTCAGGTGACATTTGCCCTTTGAACTCTCTGACCTTAGGAACCTGATTTCAAACGGTGGATAGATTCCATAGCAACAGTCTAGCACCATTTGAAATCAGTGTTCCTAGTTCAAGAAAAATCGTCATGGCAATCGCTACTCCAAACATGACTGAATGCATGCAGTTTTCAGCAATATCAAAAGTGATCAACTAAATTGTACTTTACATACAGCTATGTATCACAACCTACATACATTGGAATTCATTTTGAAATACAAGCACTTTTACAATAAATAAGTCCTTTTGGCATTTTG